TTTTCCACCCTCGGCTTATACTCGAGTCAATATGTTTTCCCAGTTTTTTGTGGTAAAATTGGGTGCCTCAGCTTACTGTACATTTGGGTTGGCTTATACTCGAGTATACACGGTATGTTGTAAACTGTCCAGAAAGTGCTCTAATACTATGGAGTATCATATTGCTCAAAGCAATAAACAACAATAATCATCATTTTAAAAATTGCATTGGTTTGGTGGGCTGTTGTAAGTGGGGGCAAAGAGCTGGATTGACTCCCCAGATCATTATATTCTGGAGAGGCAACGTGATGTAGAAGGCAGCACGTTGGATCGGGAGACTAGGGTGACCCTAAGTCAAACATGACTTGACAGCAACATTTTGCGGGTGGGGTGGGAAGGAATCGGAATATCTGGCTTCAGCCCCTTCCAGCTAGAGGTATGAATGAGGGATTTTGGTAGGTTCCGAGCCCCAGCATCCTGGGCTGCCACCAATATCTGGAGAGCCATTATTGCCAGGATCTCCTGGGAGTTCTCCGGGTGACTGGCAGCAGATTGGCAAGGAGTTTTGACACTCTTGGGCAGATTGCTGGGAGTGCGATTCCCCACTCTTGTGCCTCTTTTGAGTAGAGCCAGCCTGTGTAGCCTTGGGCAAACTTCATGGTCATCCCGGGGCGCCCTCAGAAGACAGGAATGAATGGTAAAGCCCCTTCTGAGTCCAATAGGACCCCCACCCCCTGCCCCAAGGAGCCAGGAAAACTGCATTCCAGAAAAACACTGAATACAAGAAAACCAGTAAATAATAGTAAAATGGAGAGTTTTCTAAGCTTCATTTGGAAACCCGTTGTTGTAAACATGTGCCTCTAAATTCAAAACCTTGGCTTGTTTACCCTACAGCCAGTATATTCACCTGTAGCCCGTAGATTCATCAGCTGAAATGCTCATAATTTGTGGATTTCTTCAGTCACGTTCTAGACCTTGTAAACAGTCACTTGTGCCTGATTCATAACTTAGTATATTTATAACTGTACCTTCCACCAAACCTCATATTTAGGTGGAAGGTGTTTCTGATTTCATCCGCAGTTCCTTTGAGCTTCTCATGGAGATCTACAGTCTGGAATGTGACCAGTTTGAGGATCTGGAGAGACCCCTTTACGGACAATTCATACAGAGAATCATCCTTATGCCTTGGCAGACTCGGGCCCGGTATTTCGCACTCACCTCCATTCTACCCTACCTGGGCCCTGGAAAGGTAACCTCTGTGCATTTCTGTGACTGCGTCTGTGTTGGGGCAGGGGTTCAATTTCTATATCAATGGCTGGGAATCAACACACTCTTATGGGTACCATGTGGTGGTACTACAGTGGTGCCCCGCATAGCGGCGTTAATCCGTTCCAGGATTAACGTCGCTATCTGGATTCGTCACTATGGGGGGGGGAACCCCATAGGAACACAGTAAACTCCGTTTAATGCGTTCCTATGAGGACAAAGCTGACCGGTATGCGAAGATTCCCTATCCAGCCGCCATTTTCGCCACCTCAGTAAGCGAGGGCAGGGCGCGAAAACGGAGGAGGCGGCCATTTTCTTCTTCCGGCGGCCATTTTGGAACCGCCGATCAGCTGTTGGGGAAACATCGCAATGCGAAGATCGGTAAGCGAAACGCTTACCATTCACCGCAATGCGATGTTTTGCCACCTAAAACATCGCAATGCGATCGCATTAGCGATCGCAAAAAACGCGTCACTATGTGGATTCGTCGTTAAACGGTGCGCTCGTTAAGCGAGGCACCACTGTAGTTGTATTTTATTTGGCACTGATTAGGCCTCATCTGGACTACGGAGTCCAGTTCTGGACACCGCACTTTAAGAAAGATGCTAACAAACTGGAGCAGGTTCAGAGGAGGGCAACAAGGATGATCCAGGGGACAGGAAACCAAGCCCTCTGAGGAAAGGCTGAAAGAACTGGGCATGTCTAGCCTTGGGAAAAGGAGACTGAGAGGTGATACTTTTCAGATATTTGAAAGGCTGTCATACAGAGGAGGGGCAAGATCTGTTCTCGGTCTACAGCTTCTAGAGTTGCTTTTTTTTCAGGCTCCGGCAAAGATCTGCCACCAAAGAACCCTTGGTTCTAATTCTGTTGGCATCCCATATCTTTTTTTTTTCTCAGGTTCTGGATCTCTACCACGACCTCCCTCAGCACCTCCTGAACTGCCTTTCAACCAACCACCTGTGTCCGGCCGCCTCAGATGTGTACAAAACCATCCTCCAGCTTCAGCGCAAAGGTTGGACAGAGGGCCAAGAGGGCATCTCAGAGGAAGAGCTGGCTCAGAGATGGGCCCGTCCTTGGCTGCCCACCCTCTTCAGCGCCTTGACCTCTCCCGACTCTTTCCTCCAGAGCAACGCCGGCAACTACCTCCTCGTCTGGACTGTGCGTCTTTTCCCGGCTTCTTCTGCTTTGCTGGCAGGACGCTTTAGCGGTAGGGATGCCTCTCAGCTCCGGGCCTGGGCCACGGTGTGGAACGTTCACAAGGCCCTCGTGGGGACCTTGCCTGAGGAGGACGAGACCCTCGGAAGACTGGCTGCCTGCCTTTTCTCTCAAGAAGACCACGTCCGCCTGGCGGCACTGGGCCTCCTCTGCTCGACACCCAGGACCAACCAGGCCTTGTCCAAGAGGGAGGTCCAGCTCCTGAAGGAATTTTTGCCACTCAATTTGAATTGCGATTCCTCCTCTTTCCGGCAGCTCCTCCAAGCCACCATGAAGAAGGCTTTGGTTCGGCTGCGGGACAGCGCCCTGGCCATGCTGAAGCACCAAACCCCAAACCGACAACGAACACCAACTGTAGTCGGAAAGGATTTGGAAGCATCTCTGGAACAAGCCGTAGGTGAGTTGATTATCCTTCACAACTTTGCATGCTTTAGGGACAGAGCTTTGAGAGTTATGTCTTAAGAATGGTCCAGGAGCACAATACAGTGGTGCCTCGCATAGCGAGGTTAATCCGTTCCGGATTAACCTTCACTATGCTGAAGCATCGTTGAACGGGGCAGGGATTTCCATTGGAACGCATTAAACATGGTTTAATGCGTTCCAAATGGGCCGAATACTCCCCGTTCAGCGATGCTTCTTAATGGCCGGCAGCCATTTTCGCGCCCTCCCCTCGCTTAACGAGGGCGCGAAAACGCTGCGCGCGGCCATTTTGGGCTATTTCTGGGCTTCCGGCGGCCATTTGGGCCACCGAACAGCTGATCGTCGGGCTTCGTTTTGCGAAGATCGGTAAGCGAAACGCTTACCGGTCTTCGCAAAGCGAATTTTGCCCTATTAGAAAAACGTTGAGCGATCGCATTAGCGATCCGAAAAAACGGATCGCTATGCGATTTCGTCGTTGTACAGTGCGCTCGTTAAGCGAGGCACCACTGTATAATAATAATGTTCAAGTCCCATCAAGCCAGTTCTGACTTATGGTGAGCCTCATTTTCAGGGTTTTCAAGGTAGAGAATACTCAGAAGTGGTTGACCATTCATTTTCTTCTTCTGGGTGAATCCTGGGACTGTGCAGCTGGCCCAAGGCCACACAGGCGGGCTCTTCTCCCCGGAAGCACAGTGGGGGAATCGAACTCCCAACCCTCTGGTTCCACAGCCAGAGATCTAAACCCCTGAGCTATCCAGCCAGCGTGAGCACAATAAGCTAGCTGTCAGTTTAATTCGTTCTCACTGCTCATGCAGCTTGAAAAGCCATTCATTGCCCTTATCCATTTCATTGAGAAGAAAGAAATGTTACTGGCTGCACTGCCTAATCCTTTTTTTTTTTTGAGCGGAGAAGCCCTCAGCATTGAAAAGGAATAGCTCGCAGACTCGGAAAACGGCTTTCAAAATGCCTTTGAAATGTAACTGTGTACCAAAAAAGTAATTTCGTTCCAGTCTTTTTGGGACTACCGCTCCCAGCGTTCCAGGCTGCCGGTGCAATTTGGGGAGTTGTAGTTTAAAATCACAAATCTGCATAGCTCTGCTCCATTTTTGTGTTCCCTTTGAAGTGCGGGTTCTCGTTGTCCTTGTTATCAGAGAAGGAGATCAACTCCTTCTGTTTTAACTGTAATACTGGACTGTCCTTAAAGGCAAGTTCTGATCATGGAGGGTTTCTAAGGATGGGTTGCCAAGGCTGTGCCTGGCATGGGAATCGCTGGATATCTGGCTGTGTGAGCCGAGAAAAGTTATTTTCCCATCCGTAGACCCTTGGAGGTGGGTATGCTTTGAACAGAAATTATAAAGGGGCAAAAAATCTTGTTCTGTTCCTGATGAAAGCCCCCCCCCTTCCTGAAGCTACTGTTTGACCTGAGAGGGAATGTCCGCATGTCCATGAGGCAGCCTGACGCAACCATTTCAGGTGGAACATACTGGAGGGGGGTCAGGATCAACGCCGGCCGGCCATGCTGCTCTGTCAGGAACCAGGGCCTTGTGTGCCCCATAACCTGTCCTTCGCCACCAAACTACCCTGCTGCTCTCCCCTCAGCAACCATGAGGTAAAATTCAACTGCCAGTCCAGTTTGCTTGTGTAGGTGGAATCAGGGGAAGAGGTGAGGATATTGTTGGCCTTGGCCTCAGGCAGCAAAATCTCTTGGGCTACTCCTGATTGACGCCTAGGGGTATCCACCTTCCCTACCTCAGCCCAAAGCAGCTGCTCTTCATTTTAGACCATTTCCTGTCAGTCTTTTGGCAATGAGGTCTAGATCTCCTCCCGTTTAACGCTAATATTTAACACTAGCCTGAAAATACTTCTGTTCTCAACCTCTTCGTCGCTGTGCTTCGGACGTCTGTCCTCACCAAAGAAAATTTTCCTCCCTTGCATAGGTTTTGTTGAGTGGCTGTGGCAGCTCTGCGTTGCCTCCCTGACCTCGGGGCCCAACTACCAGCGGAAGAAGTCCTCCCTCCTTCTGCTGGCGGCCATCTTGGAGACGTGCACAGACTCGTGGAGTCCAGAGAGGAAGAAGGGGCAGCCTCCTCGTGAGTCATTTTACACTCTCCAAACCTAGCTTCTTTTGGCAGGGAGTTCCACAGCCCGAGGGTATCCACTGGAGACCTGGCTCTTGCATCCCATCCATATGGCCTGTTCCCAAGTGGATGGACGTACCGTATTTTTCCTTGTATAAGATGCTTCCATGTATAAGACGCTCCCTACTTTTCTAACCCAAAATTAAGAAATCTAAGCGGTGCTTAGGAAGTGGAGGGGGAAAGCAGGAATCAAAGCGCTTTGATGATTCCTGCTTTCCCCCTCCACATTCTTCTCAAGAAAGTGAACAGGGAAAGCAGGGATCAAAGCTCTTTGATCCCTTTCCCCCTCCTTACTTCCATGTATAAGACGACCCTCAATTATTAATCTAAAGACTTTAGGCAAAAGTATCATCTTATACATGGACAAATACGGTAGATACTTAGAGTTTTCATCTAAGAGCATCTGGGGGACCCAAGGTGGGGAACCACTGAGACACAGACTTCACAGAAGTGGTTTACCCTTCCCTTCCTCTAGGGGGTGCTCTGGGACTGAGCAGCTTGCCCAAGGCTACACAGGCTGGCTCTTCTCCCAGGAGGCAGAGTGGGGAATCGAACTCCCAACGTCTGGCTCTGCCCTCAGGAGGCAGAGTGGGGAATCAAACTCCCAACTTCTGGCTGTGCCGTCAAGAGACCTAAACCACCGAGCTATCCATCCAGGTTGAGTTTATTGTCAGCCTTGACCTAAAGCTTTGGAGTGAATAATGGCAAATTGAAAAGGAGTTAATCCGTTTTACTACAGTATGTGAATATTGGGGAATCAAACTCCCAACTTCTGGCTGTGCCGTCAAGAGACCTAAACCACCGAGCTATCCATCCAGGTTGAGTTTATTGTCAGCCTTGACCTAAAGCTTTGGAGTGAATAATGGCAAATTGAAAAGGAGTTAATCCGTTTTACTACAGTATGTGAATATAGAGACCTAAACCACCAAGCTATCCAGCCAAGTTGAGTTTATTGTCAGCCCTGACCTAAAGATTTGGCGCGGGTAATGGCAAATTGAAAAGGAGTTGATCCGTTTTACTATGTGACTAACTCATTGCTATAATTAAACCATTTAGAGACTGAGATCCTGTAGTAAGTCACAACTAGAGTAGGTCCATTAAATCTATATACACCTTATTGGAAGCCGCCCAGAGTGGTCGACCAGACCAGATGTGCGGGATATAAATCAAATCAAATCAATCAATCAATCAATCAATCAATCAATCAATCAGTGGAGTATTGAGTGACTCTTGTCCTCTAAGTTCCATTGATTCAACGGCGCTGCTTATTACGGGTGTTCAGCCAGTGAATGGTTTAAAAATGATTTCTAGTTTTAAAAGTAGCCTTAATTCTGATACAACAAAGTCACTCTCGGAGGGGTGGATTTTAAAATAACAAAAATAGCAAGCAAAAAAAGCAGTTATCGGCGGTTTTCAGGGAACCCCGAGGGAACACAACAAATCTTAAAGACAGGACCCAAGGCCGGGATATGGAAGTTGTTGCGTGCTCAGTGGGGATGAATTGCTCGTTGTTGAGGGAAGACCAGAAAATGGGCTTGCCAAATGGGGAGTGGAAGGCGTTGGATGGAATGCCCTGCAAAAGGAGGTGACAGGCTGGCCAGCACTTGAATTGAAGCAGTTTTGCACTGCAACATTGTGTTGCAGCTCCCTCTTGTGCTTCACAGCAGTTTCATTCTCATTATATTTAGCCAGGGTTATGCCCCTTTCTCTTCTCTCCCTTTTCCGCCCTGTCTGTGTCTTCAGGCAATATGGCCGCCCTCCTCAATTGGGCCAGAAGCAAGGGCTGCTGGGACTTTTTCTCTAGGAGCCACACCCTGACACTGCTGAGCTGCTTGCTAGACAGTACGAACGAGGTAAGGGATCCACACCTTGTCCCGGGGCGATTTCTGAGTGTGTTTTTTTAGACACAAGAACCAGAACCACAGAGGCTTTATGGGCTGCACTTCAGAGTCCTTGTGAGGACAGGTTTGAAATCCAAGTTCTAGGTTCCCACGAAGCGATTCTAGGCCTTCTCTCTCTTTTTTTCAGTAGGGCTGCAAAAACGGTCGGTGCTCACTTGGGATTAAACCCTTCTGGGTGGACAGTTAAGAGAACTGTGTCGGGAGAATGGCATCGGGTGTCCGCTGAGGTGGACAGCTTGATTTGTAGAATGGGCAAGCTGTGTTTGATCTCGTCAGTGGCCTCCGCCGTACGGGGGGCTCAGGCACAAGCGGGGAGTTTATCTTATCTTGGTTTTGATGAGATACACCTTCAGCACCTTGGAGAGCTCCACAGGAAGGCCCCCCCCCCGGACCAGGGACTCGGAAGATGCTCATTTCCTAAGATGCACACCTTGCTCTGCCGTCAGGTCTCAGACAGTACAGTTGGACCCCTGTAGCTGTGGGAAATCAGTTCTAAGCCCCCACTCCACTTCTGGAATGCTGGAAAATGCAGATTATAGCAAAAGCTATTATAATAGTAAACTCTATACATAGCGTGGCCTCTTGCTTCCTCTAGTGGCCGCTTCATCATTAGAAATATGTATTTTGGAGATTTTTATTTTAATATTTTCAGATGTAGATAAGTGAATCCGTGGATACCGATCCCGCGGATAAGGGGATCCTACTGTTTTGCCACATTAGCTGAGTGGCCAGTATTGCCAGCAGCGAAAGGAGCCAGGTTTTTCATAAAACGTCTGGACTGGGCATTTTGGAGTTAGAGCCTCACAACATCCTTCAGCTTGAGAAGCGTTGACGCAGTCGGTTTCTATTGCTTAGGATTGTAGTTTTCGAAGCAGATCAGACAAGAAAATAAAAAAGCAGAAAAAAATGAGACTAAAACATTGTTCCACCTTAAAGATGTATCGCTATATTTTAATGTGCACTTTGGTGGATCAAGTCCACCTCCGTAGATGTGTGTGAGACCCTATGACAATCATTAATTAGGCATGGCCCCATGGCCATGCGGGGATACAGGAGGACAAAGTGTCAAACGTCGGTTGGTGTAATAGACAAAAGTGGCAAATTGTGTGTCACTGTGACATTTCCAAGGCATTAAGACTTGGTAATGACCTAAGACTCCCTGATTCATATCTAGACATTTTTAATGGGTTTCTTTCCCTTCGAGAAGGGACGTGGTGGCCCTGTGGGTTAAACCGCAGAAGCCTCTGTGCTGTAAGGTCTGTAGATCTTCAGCTGTAAGATCGAATCCACGCAACGGAGTGAGCGCCCATCGCTTGTCCCAGCTCCCGCCAACCTAGCGGTTCGAAAGCATGCAAATGCGAGTAGATAAATAGGGACCACCTCGGTGTGAAGGTAAACAGCGTTCCGTGTCTAAGTCGCACTGGCCATGTGACCACGGAAGATTGTCTTCGGACAAAACACTGGCTCTATGGCTTGGAAACGGGGATGAGCACCGCCCCCTAGAGTCGAACACGACTGGGCAAAAATTGTCAAGGGGAACCTTTATCTTTACCTTCCCTTTGAAGCCTTATTCTGTAGAAAGTGACATTTTATGGGTAAAGGAACACCAGGCACCTCTTTCTGAAAACTTGTCATCTGTTTTACCCAATAGCTGAAACCAGGGACTGCGATCATGCCATCTGCCCTAGGTCTCCTTTGCCACGGTGAACACACCCTTTTAATTGCTTTCGTGTCTTTGCTCATCTCTGGCCTGCCTTGCCGCCTCCCTCTTCTCCTGCAGATCCGTGAGCTGGCCTCGGAGCTGCTTGTCCGGTACTTTCCGTCACCTTTCCCAGAGTCCACTGCGGCCGCTCTGTTTGAGAGGGCGGGCGAAGCTGTGAGCAGCCCCCGGGTTCAAGAAGTTGAAGCCGGATCCATGTTGATGAAAACTCTTCTCCAGAAGTACGATCTTGCTTCCTTGTTCTCTTGAGCATTTTTGCCTTTGGTAGAAAGTAGTATTTTGACGGGTTCTCATACCTAACTTGGAATCGGAACCCTGGTTCAATACTTGGAAGTTCAAACCAAAACCAGGAACAGATTTGCCACCACCCACGAAACTGGTGTCACCATCATCTGCTCAGAATTGTCTCCTAGAGTTGAAGCCGCTGCAGTAAAACTCAAGCAGGAAATTCCTGTCTGAGGAATGCTAGGCGTTGTAGTCCAAAAAACACACCGGTCAGCACGTTCCTAATTCTAAGCAGTTGATCAAACTATACATCCCAGATTTCCAAAAGATGGAGCCGGGGCAGTCAAAGTGTTATCAATTTGCTATAATGATGCAGTTTAGACACAGTATGAGTTTCTTTTCCCAGATACGTATCAGATTGTAATAATTACTTGATCCACTCAAGGGTGGGGAAAGAAGCTGTTCCTATTCCTCTTGCCGCTGTTACTACAACTATTTTCCTTCACCAGGTTGGACAGCAGTATTTTAAAGCAAGTGTTGCCAGCAGCAAAAGAAGGGGTGTCTGAGCAGTCTCACTGCCTGTATTTCCTGGAGCATCTCCTCAGTTTGCTGCACAGACATTTTTCTTTGGCTTGCGAGGATTTGCTACAAGCAGCTCACACAACACCAATACATGGTCAGTACTTTGGAGGTCTCTGTGTGTGCGCGCGCATGCATGCCTCTGTGTGTGTGTGTGTATAAGAACAGAAAATATTGCTGCCAATATGAATGACAAGTGTGTTCATATGGGAGTATCCAAAATACTGTGGTGCCTCACTTAACGACGAATCCGCATAGCGATGCGTTTTTTGCGATTGCATTACAACTCTTTTCCTTCACCAGGTCGGACAGCAGTATTTTAAAGCAAGTGTTGCCAGCAGCAAAAGAAGGGGTGTCTGAGCAGTCTCACTGCCTATATTTCCTGGAGCATCTCCTCAGTTTGCTGCACAGACATTTTTCTTTGGCTTGCGAGGATTTGCTACAAGCAGCTCACACAACACCAATACATGGTCAGTACTTTGGAGGTCTCTGTGTGTGCGCGCGCACGCGTGCCTCTGTGTGTGTGTGTGTGTGTGTGTAAGAACAGAAAATACTGCTGCCAATATGAATGACAAGTGTATTCAAATGGGAGTATCCAAAATATATCCATTCCCCATCGTTAAAAAAGGAAGAAAAATACACAAATTTTCTAAACTTTAAAACCCCACATCATAAATATAGTAAAAAATTATTAAGGAGTGATTTAACCTTGGCTATTTATAAGGCTTCTAGATTGCTCCACTTAGTCAAATCACTGCTTGAGGCAGTTTACATAATGTAAATCAAGCCGTACCACCCAATTTAAAATCGGTCAAAGGAAATACTCTTTATAACCTAATCACATTTATTTATTTTTATTGGTTTTGACTTACACCCCACCCATTTAGTGGACAAGCCACAACTGTGGGCAGCTTCCAAAACTAGCATGAATATACAAACAAAATTTAATATATATAAAAACAAAATTTAATATATATATAAAAACAACAACAAAAGTATAGGATTATATTAAACAGAGAAAAACGCTGACCCACAACGGATCCCTGTCATTAATAATGAGAACCAAATTACAGAATCATAGCAGAATAAACAGATATATAATACAGTATATCCGAGCAATATATAGTGAATAATAAAACACCATCAAATCCAAACCACAGAAATGGGGCATAAAAAATTAACATTGAAGATTGCCATTGGCCTCCCTGAAAGAAAAACAACTGAAAAGGGAGCAGGGTGGGCTGTCTAATCTCTCAGGGGAAATAATTCCACCATGATAGTGCCACCTATGAAAATGCCCAATTTCTCACGAGGGTTTTGTTTACTTCCCTCGAGGCGGGCTCCCTCCGTCACGAGGACCTTGATGTGCGGGTTGACCAGGCAGATATTTTTGGAGAGAGCCTCCCACACACACACAACGGATAACTGGAGTCCCAAACCATTCAGGGCTGTATAAGTCATAGCTAACACCTTGCTTGTATTCTGAGATCAACCTTAGTTTCTTACAAATGTTGGGGATTGTTTGTTTGTTCGCTGGTTGGTGAAAATTTAATGTTTGGTGCTTTGTTTTCTTGACAACCTTTTTCTTTGCACCCTCAGAGAGAGAGAGAGAGGTTGGGAACAGGAATTGTGCTTCTAAAAAGTTCACTGCTTAAGAGTGACGGTGGGTTTTTCCCTCTCCCGTTAGGTGTGATTTCTGCCCTCCGTCGATGCCTGCTTGAGGTCCCCGAGGTGGCAGCCTCTATGCTGAGGGAGCAGCAAGTGCATCGCTGGCAATTATTCCTTAGTGGCCTGGTGGACGCTTTGAGGGATATCTGCAGTTTTCTTCTGGGAATGCTGCAGAACAAAGAGTCCTCAGGCTTGGACCAACAAGGTGAGACTGAAGTGGGATGGAAGAATAACCACTAGAGATGGGCGCAGACTGGAAAACTGGCAGTTCGCAGCGATTCGCGTTTCGTGGCTACCCATGAACCAGCCCCGAACTTTTGGAATAACAAACCGGTTCGCAGTGTGTTTTTCTGGTTTGTGCTTGTGGGGAGGGGAACCTACCACCTCCACCCCCTCGGCTGCCCACGCGCCCACTTCTTCATGGCCTCCTTTTCTGGTCCTGCCACCTCTACCGCCGTTATCTTCAGAGACAGCAGAAGAGAAGATGGCCCACTACCTCTGAAGATGGTGGTGGTGGAGGAGGAAGAGGTGGCGGGGCCAGGTAAGGGGGACGACCAGGATGAAGGGGGTGAACGGGTAGGCCATCCCTTTTGCCGAAGCAAGAGGAAGCCCCAAGCAGGGAAAAAAGTTTGGTGCTCCATTTTGTTTTTGGAAAACAGGTTGCACGAACCGAACCACGAACCAACGCAGTTCGTGTTTATTTCCAGTTCGTCGTTCAGTTCATGCCCATCTCTATTAACAACCCAGGAGCCAGGCCGTCAAAGGCCACTTGCCTGCACCATCGTTAAGCCCGGCCGAGGAAATCTTGATAGTCCCGACAGCTGGATAGGTTGTAGGCAAGCCCACCTCCAAAAATGCGTCCCTCACTAACCAGCTACCTGTGTGTGATTTTTCAATAGATTGTTATGCATTACTGCTTTGGCTGGATTTTTAGTACTACCTGTATCTTCCATTTTTGTGTGTTCTATTTCTCAGAGTGAGATTTTTTAAATTTTGTATACTTATTGATCTTTGCCTCCATACTCCCTGTTGATGATGTGAGATGCCTCCTTATTCATTGTTCATAGTTTTAAATACTGTCTTTTAATGGTGTCAACTACCGCTGTCACTGTTTTCAACTTGAAATGTTGTCTGTCATTGTTTGTTCCTTTTCAAGGAGAAAAGCAGGGTAAAAATATTTTAAAATAAATAAGTAAAATATCAGTAAGTTGCAATAAAGCTCTAAAAACCTCCATAGGCATCAGTGGAAATCTTTTTTAGAATCTCTGTTAGTCTGGGAGGGAGTAGAAGATGTTCCTTCTATCAATGATTGCTGATAAAACCAGGAGGAAGCTTTTGGGCCTGATGGCGACCTCCTTTATTATCCACCCTTTTTTTAAATTTGGGATTTTGTTTGTCATAGTTTTTAACATAATTTCATATTCTGCACTGATATGCAGCTTCGGAAAGGTTTCATTCTTAAAGATGGCTCAAAATGACTGTGAAATAAAAATTTAAAAATAAAATAAAATAACTAAAATGCATGAAATATTGGCGCCCTCTCTCTGCCAGCTTGAATTATCCATTGGAAACTTTTCCAAATGGCATCTGTGATCATTTTAAAATGAAAAGTACAGTAGAACCCTGGTATCTTTGGGGGGAATAATTTCCAAGCCCGCCCCATCCCCGCGGTTGCCAAATCTTATAGTCTCTGGTTCCCTCTAGTTCTGGCAATACACCTTGGAAACATAAATTTCTGGGTTTTTTTATTTAATATTTTTGGGCAGCAAATAACTGAAGCACAGGTACTGATCCCAGGAATATAGCGGCACTATTCTGTCCTATTTGCTTGGAGAAAGCATTTGTATCAACCGCGAGCACTCTCAAAGCAGTTTGTGTACATTTAGTAAAGTACAGCCCTTTTCTGCAAGCCTTTCATCAAAAATGGTATGACACAAAAGGAAAAATGGACGAGGAAGGAAGAGGAAAATGCAAGATATTGGACAGATCTCGCAGAATGGTTCTCCTTTGTCTCTGTCTCCTTCCATCTTCTGGAATACCTTGCGAGAGCGACAGTGGAGAAGGGAGGTATAAAAGTTTTGCATCCATCCTCCATTTCTGTCCTGCTACATAACCCCTCCGTCAATTTTATTGCAGCTGCCGCACCTTCGTTTGCAGACATGGGGAATGCGATTGGCGGCCTGATCCGGCTGGGAAAAGACCTGGGATCCCAGGAAGAGGACGATTCGGTCCTGCTCTCCGAGGAGCACAGTCTTGTCCTCACCTGTTGCTGGGTTTCAGTGAAGGTGAGTGATTCCGGAGTTGAACTGAACTACGGATCCCATCCTCCCCATTCCCATGCTGCCTGTGGAGTTCTGGGACTCGTCATCTAAAACCTGACTTTTCCCCCCCTATACCCGCTGCCGATCTCTGTCCTTCCACCCTCCTGTCTTAACCTAAAGTCTGATCCGCTCGGTGGATTCAAATGCTTACCCTAAAGGAATTTACTTAACAAAGGATTTTATAAGGTCTTCTCACTTCCTCCAGACCTTTCCTGAACAGCTAAAAGAAAGGCTGGTTGCCTCTAAGGTGGAGTGGGGAGAGTCAAACCACTTCCCACTTACAAGCTTCATCACTAAATCCAGCTGTTGTCAGCTGGATGGGAAATTTGTCTCCGGTGGCCGTACTTAAATGTCTAACCTATGCTCAACGCAAGCAGATAACTTTTTCATGCCCATGAAAATGTGTGGTACTGCACCCGTGAATGGCTCTCGCAGTTGTTTTTCCTTCAAGACAACTCTTTTTACCTTGCCGCATGCGCACACACACACACACACACACTCACACAAGAGCATCACATTAAAAAAAAATTAGCAAGTATAAAAAACACTAACACATGGTAGGACCCCCCGCCATGCAAACTTTATCTTTAGAAATATATAGTCCTAGGATTTTTTTCCTTATATTTTTAATATTTTCAGACCGTGGATAAGCGAGTCAGCAGAGGTTGATCCTACGGATACGGGGGGTGGGGGTGGGGTGTTTCCCTACTCTACATACCTAAGAAACTTCATAGCACAAAACAACATACAAAGCGGTTCTGTAGAATTGACTCTGAAAGGTTCCCATTGGGACCAGCCCTCACCTTGGGCAAGAGGGACACGCTTCCCTCGGGCATCCGCAGGTTCTGCAGATCATGAAGTAGCATGAATTTTCAGCTAGGCATTTTTCTGCTTACAATTTCACTACCAAGACGAAGAAGGATGCTTTGTATCCTGTCTCATATATAAAGATGGAAAGAACTGGTAGCGAAATTTTGGGCTGCATGCTATAGCAGACAGACTAGACAGCTAAACCCTTAGATCTTGGTCCTACATTGCTATATTTGCTGTTTTAGATATTTTACTTTTTGTATGTCTGGTATGGCTCTTTGTAGTGCACACCAGTCTTTGAAGTTTTGTATTCAATTTTGTATGGCTTGATGCCGTAACAGTAAAGTATGTATGTATGTAAAGATGGAAAGGGGGGGCAGACAGAAAAATCCAGTAAAAATGGGGGGGGGTCTGTTTTTTTCCATTTCCCCCCGCAGGAAAACTGGGAAAAAGGACTGTAGAATATGTTCTTTTACAATGATAAATAGTATCTCTGTGACATGGTACAGTATTCAAACTATATGAAGGCCTGGAGGAAAGACTTCCGGGACTTTATGTATTTAACTTCTCTGAGAGTCATATATAGAAATAAGGTAGCTAGCTTTGGGTACCGCCCACTGGATGTAGATGGGGGGGACCCATTCCCCCCCCCCATTTCCTGTGCATTTCTTGATACCAGCTAAGGGAGAGGTATTGTCTCTTTCTTCCAGAAAGCAAATGTTTTGCTAGGGTGGGAGGGAGAATATTGCTTTAATTGGATATCCGTTGCTCACATCACCGCCCCAAACAGTGACAGGCAGGTGAGAGTCATAGTAGAGAGTGAGTTGATGCCCTAAAAACTGCCTGTAGGAGAAATATTACAGCACTGGGGGGTGGGGGGACCTTAGAGGCGTTGGGCACGGCTCGAACAAGCCAGAAGCAACGATTTCGTTATTTATTTGACCCTCAAATCTGCTTTTAACTTCCAGGAAATTGGGCTGCTCTTCGGAGGCCTAGTGGAGACCTTCCTTCCTCTAGCGCCACCTGCAGGCTGTGGGGCTCTCCTGCCGATCCACATTCTCAACACAGCCGCCGAAGTGTTCCAGAATATTTTGCTCAAGTGCCGGCACTGGGTAAGACCCGCTTCCCATTCAGCGACCCGCTTGTTTTCTGAAGCTTACTTTTAGGCCCTCCTCCTGCCCATCCTTTATCTCGGGGCCAGTCCAGATTATTTTTCCTTCTGTCTTGAAAGTTGAGGATTGCATTCAGGCGGGCTTCTTCTGCCGAAGATAAAAGAAGCTGCCTCTCTCTCTTTCTCTCTAGGGAGCTGTGGAGGGCTGCAGTCTAGGATTCACCAAGTTTTGCACCACTTTGCTCAGACATCCGGACCCGGAGCTGCAAGCTATACCAAAAGCGATGTTAGCACAGGTATTAGCTTCCCCCGTTGTGGTGCATGCGTGAATGCGGTCTTAGGCAACCCCCAAAGGTCGGTAGAGTTGCCTCTTTGGATGGCAATGCCCAGGGTTCCTCATCCAGCCAGGCAAACGCTGGTTGAGGATTCTGGGAATTGTAGTCCAAAAAAAAAAGGATAACTTTTCAAAGCGAGCCGTGCTCCCCGGGCTGAGCGTCTAATGTGGGAACCATCCTTTGGGTCATTTTGGCACCGTTCCATATATTTACAAATATACAAGTAGAGGGGATGTGGAAGCAGGGGCGGGGGGCCCTAACCTTGCTCGACCAGATATGGATTCCAGATATGGTTGACCATAGTGCCTATCATCCTCGGCTAGGAGGGAAAGAGACTGGCTAGGGCCATGGTGCACCTACCAGGTCTAATGAGGACTTTGTGGGGTAGTTTTCACTGGGAAGAGAAAGGTTTAAATTGTTTTAGGATGGGGCTCTTTTGCTGGATAGCTCAATGGTTTAGGTCTCTCACTACGGAGCCAGAGTTGGGAGTTCGATTCCCCCACTGTGCCTCTGTGGCAGGGACTGGACCCAAGGATCCAGAGGGCCCCTTCCAGCTCTGTAGTTTTAAGATGATGATGATTACATGTTCAGTTTTATTTTAGTATGCAATGATGTTGGTTTCTCAATCATTTTATAACCCACCTTGGATCCGTATGTAGAGGAGGTTCATGCGCGTGTTTGGTTAAAACTCCTTTGCATCACAGGGCACCGTCCCAGTCTTTAATTCTGAGGGGTGTATCCTGCCGATGGCTGGTACGGTAAGAGCAAGAAGCCCTTGGATGCTTACACACCTTCTCAAACAGTCGGCTCCATTTGTTCCTATGTTAAATGTCAGCTTTTGCTCCCTGTTGGTTTGAATTTAACACCAGCCCATTGATTCCCAAACATGGGCTCACCTGATATCATGCATACGACATCAAGAGTCCCGGACGGACCGTTGGCAATGCCAGCTCGAGCTTTTTGGGAGCTGAAATCAAAGCACACACAAACACACTTTTAACAGTTTTAGCGACCTACTTTGCTTCTCTTTTCCACTTTCCTTTTCTTTTTTACCCCCCACTTAGGGCTTGACTTTATTAAGTAGCCCCAGAAGCTGTTCCATTACTCGCCGGGCGGCTGGTTTCCCGATGCTTTTTCTCTGCATCGTGGCTGGAGAAGACCCGGCTAAATCACGGCCTCTTCTGGCTGGTTGCATTCAGACGTTACTGGCCTTGGCCAATGAGCCCCTTCCCCAGGACTGGGACCAGACGGTGGACTTGCCGCAGGTAAGGGGGGGACAGAACCACTCGCCTGGAACGGCCTGCGGTTTTGTTGGGATGTCTTGCCAAGGAAGTAACTTAAGAGCAAGGTTCGGGAAGTTTTCCTCTTCAGAAAAATGAATCTTGTGACAGGCTGAAGCTGAGTAGTGCTAGAGGATGATGCTCTGTAACCAAACATCATTGTGCTGCAGCTGAATTATAAGTGGCTTTGTGGTTGTTATGTGCCATCAAGATGCCTCCAACCTATGGCGACCCTATGAATGAGCCATTTCCAGAATGTCCCGTCCTCAACAGCCCCTGCTCAGTTCTTGCAGACTCAACCCTATGGCTTCCTTTAGGGAGCCCGTCCATCTCGTATTTTGGTCTTCCTCTTTTCCTGCTGCCTTAAGCCTTTCCCAGCATTAATGCTTTTTTTTTTTCCAGAGAATCCTGCCTTCTCATGATATGCCCAAAGCAGGACAGCCTCAGCGTCAATCTTAGGTTCTTTTTTAAAGAGAAAGGCAGGCCAAAATACTTTAAATAAATAAACATTTTTACCTTAAGAGATAGTTCAGAGCCGTGATTTGCTCTAGGAAGCACGTGTTCATTTTTCTGACAGCCCCAAGGTTTCCTTAAAGCTCTCTTCCAGCACCATATTCAAAATGAATCCATTTATTTATTTATTTTGCCTGTTTTAAGTGACTTTAGGATTGATTAAATGTATTTGTCACAAAATAAAGTTTTCAGGTTCTGCTGAGAAACAAGAACATGTATCATAGTTCAGACTTTTGTGGAACTTAGCACAGTTCATCCGTTGAATGGTGAATCTCCAGAATTTTGTGTGCGTGTGCATATTTACACATGTAACGTGCAGAGATTTAGTGATAGGGTTGTAAATAAAAAAGGACATTATTTCTTCTTTGCAGCCCCAAAGTGAAGGAATTCCTTCTCCCAACCACATGGCCCAATTCACTTTGGATAGATGTGGATGGCCATCCATAAAACCCTGTAGACACCTTGTAGAAGCGAAGCAAGTTTGAGTTGGGGCATTGCCTGCACGAAAGACTGCTCAGGAGCCACACTGTACCTTGTCTTGAATGGTGTGGCTGAAATCTGGCAGAGTAGACCATAGAAAAGGGCTGGCAGAGGGCGAGAGGAGGGCATGGCTGGGCATCTGCTGGGAATCTGACTGCTGATGCCAGTCCTGGTGCTTTTGGGTCTTCAGCACAGAGGAGGAAGAGGAGAAGTGAGGAGGTCTGTCCTGTAGAGCTGGGCAGATGCCAGACGTCTGGGGACAAGCTTTTAAACTCCCCAAACCCATCGAAGAATTCATCATCGCCTCCAAAAGACAAAACTGGGTGTGAGCAGAAGTCTACTTCTGTTTTCATTAAGGCATGAAAAACAGGGCGCAAGGAAGCATGCACCTTTTTTCGGTGCAAAATCAATGTTCTCAGAAACGTCTAGGCAGCCGTGGCCGATTTTTTTTGTCAGAACTTTTATAAGGAGACGGGGGCTGGTCCCACAGGGGCACGTGGCCCATAGGCCACCGATCGACAGACACACACACTCCTGCTCTAAGTCTTGGAAGGGAAGGCAAGCCCTGTTCCCAAAACTCCTCCTGCTATGCCTTGCGGTTTATTTACCACTGACTTGACCGGACTTTTGCCAGCTTCTGCTGCTCCTGTTGTGGCTCGTCTACGGAACCTCCCCCTCCAGCCCCGCCAGTGAATTACCTTTTTCAAACAGGGCCTTCCTCCGTTCCCCAGGCCGTTTGGGTCTGTTTGGGTCGGATCCAGCAAGTGTTGTGTGAATGTCCTTGGAATCAGAGGGCTCCCGCAAAATGATCTCTCTGTTTTCCCTTGCGTAGGTTTCAGCCGTGCATGTGTTGCAAACCCTGGTTCGCGGTTCCGGGCTTGGAACAGCCCTGCGCCAGCACATCCCACCCATGGCGGTGTTGTTTCTCAAGGCGCTCAGCTCCCCAAGCTGGGCCATGAGAAACGCAGCCATCCAGCTCTTTGGTAAGTCCCGCCCTTCCCATGACTGGGCCATGAGAAACGCAGCCATCCAGCTTTTTGGTAAGTCCCACCCTTCCCATGACAGGGATCTTGCCAGTCCCCATAGCCACCCTGCCCCATAAGAGGTTTTCCCGAACATGCAGGCCGATGGATATCAATAAACGAAGAGTGGGTCTTTTGTAAAGTTAATAGCTCTTAATTGCCCATTCAAAGCCAAACTGCTCTCAGATGCTTTGCATTATAACCGGGATCACTGGCAACAATATCCTGTTCCTAAGAATATCCTTTTGCCCCTGTTAGGAGGGTTACAGCTCCACTCATGAGGAACCAGGGGTGTTTAAGAGGGTGGTAGATGAGATCATGCCCGCGATGTTTAGAAACTCCTGAGGCTTTAACCTTCTAAACTCTGACACCACTGCAGGAGAGAAGGCAAAAGCCCTTTGCCAAGGGGCATAACATGGCAGCGATCCTGCACCTCGGCTTGGAAGGGTTGCACGTAAATTTTAATGCTCATGATCAGAACTGTTTGGATTCTTCCAAGTTATAAAATTAGGAATCTGTTGTCATAAAGGGAAACCAAGAAGAGTGTTGTTAAAATGGACTTGTTAGTCCATTTTTTTTTTTAATCTGGAGGGAATGGAATGATGATGACAATAACCATAACAACAACAGAACTGCGGAGAAGGAATAGACCCTATGGATTATCGAGTCCAGCCCGTGTCAGAGAGGCACAGTGGGGGAATCAAACTCCCAGCCCCTGGTTCCTAAGCCACTGAGCTATCCATCCGGCAGGCTGCAGTATTTGGTTTTCATCAGAAATGTTTTGCTGGATCCCTTTGGAGAAGGAGAAGACACTTGAAAATTAAAACAAAGCTTTGATCAAAACAAAGCTTTAAGTCAGTGTCATTGTAAACTCCTTCTGCCACAGTCAGCAGGACATGGGCTGAACAGAAGCATATTTGGGGTGGGAATCTTAATACTGTATTATACATTTATTTATTTCTATGCCGCCTTTCTCCCCAAAAGGACCCAAGGTGGCTTATATATCACTAAAACAGTATTTAAAACCTAGAAAAGTAAGTATACAAATATTTTAAAAGGATTAAACAAGTGCTATATTAAAATGGTAAGTAAGATAGATCAGTATTAAAACACATTTAAAACAACAGAGCACAACACTCAATTTTAAAGCCCCTCTCAGACCACCAGTCATTAAGGAAAAGCCTGCCTGAAGAGAAAGGTCTTTGCCTGCCTGCGGAAGGACAGCAAAGACGGGGACAGCCTGGTGTCCAGTGGGAGGGAGTTCCAAAGTCTCTGGAAGCAGCCACCGAGAAGACCCTCTCCCGTGCCCCCTCCAAATGCACCTGTGAAGGTGGTGGGACCGAGAGGAAGGCCTGCCCTGATGATCTTAATGCCTGGCAAGGCTCATAAAGGGAGATACCAGTCTTTCAGATAGCTTGGACCCAAGCTGTTTAGGTCTTTCATACGAAACATACCATTTCTCCTTTGGAAATTTTATCATGTGAGACACCCAAGGCTGTACCTGCTCTTTGTGAATCGATGCCCCCTGGTGGTTCTTTTTGGTTGTGCTACTGTGGACGTCTAGAGTGCAGGTGGACCACTTCTGGCCCGCCTGATGGTCTTGGACTGCAACTCCCATCCAACATAGCTGGTAGAGTCAACATTGAGAGGTCCTGGGAGTTTATCTTCCCATATCTTTCTTGACTGCCTTGGCATGAGATCCACGGCCCTCTCCCCTCCTTTATCATCACGCCAACCCCGAATGGTAGGTAGTTCAGGCGGTGGGACAAACATATTGTACTACCAGTCCTGCCGTCTTGCTTTTAGGCCGTTTTAATTATTATTGCTGAAACTTTATTGATGTTTAGTTTTGATTTTGTAACTATTATGTTTATCGGTTTGGATTGTATCAAAAGGAGGGGAAAATGGATCAAAGCAATCCCGCAACTGCACGATCATTTTAATCCCTTCCCCCCTTATACAGCCACGGGATTGCTTTGATTCTTCCCCCCTCCTTTTGATAAGCCCCATGGAACGTAGCAAGCAGAGAGGAAAGCAGGGATCAAAGCAATCCTGCAGCGTTTGATCCCTTTTTTCTTTTTGCTAAGGATGAACAAGTGGAGGGGAAAGCAGGGGTCAAAGCCTTGCAGGAACAATTTGATCCCTGCTTTCCCCTCCACTTTTTTTGTACTCTCCTTAACTTTCTTGTGTGTATAAGACAACCCTCAATTTTTAGTCTAAAAATTTTAGACAAAAGTATAGTCTTAGACACGGAAAAACATGGTATATTACCAGTCCTGCCGCCTTGCTTTTAGACTATTTTAATTATTATTACTGAAACTTTGTTGGCGTGTTGGTGTTTCGTTTTGTTTTTATAACTATTATGTTTATTGGTTTGAATTTTCTCTGGTGTCATGTTTGTTCAATAGGCAAACTGCCCAGAGTGGCTGGTAATAGAAGTCAAATAAATCAATCAATGAACTGCCCAAATTCACCCAAAGGGCTCAATAGCTCAAATGGGACATAGATCCGAATCCCCCCGCTCCACACTGCCCACGCTGGCCTTAAGTCTGTCTGAAAGCCACGATTCTGCCCCTCACACCAAGATCTGAAGCGTTTCCCTCCCTGCTTTGTTTCCTCCCAGCTGCCTTGACGGTACGCCTTCTCGGTCAGAAGCGCAGGAGGGACGAGAGCCGCGGTCCAGAAGGAGTGAGCCCAGAGGCCCTTTTCGGCTGCTACCCTCCGCTGAGGACCATCCTGCTTGGAGAGCTGCTCTCGGCCGTGGAGGCCTCCGGGTCTAGAGCACCCCAAAGCGGGAAGCTTCGCCTCTGCCCCTCTCTCTACGCCATCCTCACCTTTCTGGCAAAGCTCCAGCCTAGCTCAGACACCCAGAACAGGTAAAGAAGGGAAGCTGAGCGGCTTCCGGTTCTACACCGAGGGCCAAACTGTGGCCATTTTCCAGCAGTTGGCAATATTCCCCCCCCCGTCTTCACAGACAGATGTGGGCACACACAAACACATGCCACAGAGTCCAGTCAGATGCGTTGTGTGATAAAGCCTTTTTTAATAGGAAACATTCTATCTGGCCATTTGGTTTCCATCAGCCAGTAAGGTCCCCCGGTACTCTCAGACATTCTGGCCTGTGGCTCAGATCCAGGTTCTGTTGGAGCCCAGCTGAAGATGGTACGCAAATGCCCAAATAAGA